CAAAGGGTGAAGAAGCAGCTCAACTTAATGCAGAACAGAAGTGTTTCTGTTGTGACTTGTCAGACTGCTAGCACAATTATTTTCATGTGTGAATATATATTAGGAATTGGCCTAGAAATCGTATGAACTTAATTACACATTTTGTGGTATATTTTTTGAGGCATACTTTATTTTTCGCTTAAATCAAACATCTACATATTGAGAATTTCAATGTACGTTTCTGTAGATGTATATAGCAATTGGGAGCAGAAATCCTGTACATTCATTGAAAAGCACTGGTTGAAGATAATACTGATTTTGACTGTGCTGTACTTTAGTATTGGGTTAGTGGTTAGCACGGAGTAAGTCATCCCTGATATTCTAAAATGAGCTTTTAGTTTTCAACAGGATCACTACAGAAATTTTGTTTTTAACCTCACAGTACGTTCTCATAAGCGATATCAAAATAAACCCTTGACCAACAAAAATACCTTCTATATTAGGTCCACACTGGGGTCACACAAAGACATCACTGCTGACCTTTTTATTACATAGAGGAGAATACAGACAGCATACAGAATATAATCAGTAGACTTTGAATATTAGAAAAAGGTAACAAAATGCAATAATATAGTAATAAATCAGTATTAAAAAAAAGGCAAGTGACTGTGTGTGCCCTATCTGAATATCCTCCTTTAAAGTTCTGCCAAAAGTGTGGGTCAGTATTGTCTGGTTATCCATCATCAGTAATGCTGTCACTGCGAGCATCGAAAATGCACACTTCTAAAGCCACTTGTCCTTTTTTTTTTTCATCCTTTTTAAAGAAAGAAGGTTTTAATTGAAAGGGAAAGAGAAGTAATAAAGAACTGGTGCGGATCTATGTGTGTCTCTGTAAAGCAACGGAATATGAAAGCGATGAGCCAAACCCAGATATACGAGTGAATCCCAGACTTTCTGCATATCATCCACACAATATTCTGGAGATAAGTCATGAAAAATAATAAATAAGCTGTGTAGCCAAGCAGAGTAGAGAACAATAACCTGTCCAGTACACTTTATCAATATGAAGTTATAGTCCGACAGCCAAGGGGAAGGAAAGGAATCAGAAATGGAGTTTAATCAGGTGCTATTGCTGGCAAAAACTCCAGAGGTTTTACGGAAGAGAAGAGCGTAAATTAAGTCCAGTGGTGGGGGATAAAAAAGTATTCAGTCTTCAGGTGAAAATCTTTCTTTTGAGGGAGAATATAGGAAATGTTTCTTTACTGGAAGAATCCAACCAACCATGAAAATAAATGTTCTCACTCTGGGTTATTTGATCTGTTTGTTTGGGTTTTTTTGGCAGGGGGAAGGAGGAGGTGTGAGGAAAAATATAAACTAAGTGCAAAGCATAAAGCATAAAATTTGAAATAGGTCTTCCTGTCCCAGGAGATGGCCATCTCCCCTGTCAAAGCTGTCCCACTTCATGTTAATTATTCTTGAGCTTTACCCTTTCCCATCCCAAGTGAGTATCCTGACCATGACATCATCATACCAGTTTCTCAGTCTTTGTCTCATTCTCTCTGTATTATTTATATGAAATGAAACAGCTTCAGTAGCAACTACTGAAACAGAGAGTGTTCTTGAGTGTTTGTGCATGTGTAATAGCAGGATGGTTTAGGACACCTTCCTGTGATTCAGAAGACTGGCTTTCACATTCCTACTCCCTGTCAGGTCAAATGGCTTTTAAAACTGCCATCCCAGTTTAGTATTGCAGCCATTGGTTGGTAAGTTAAATGGAAGAAGACATACTGATCTGTTACTGTTAGTCCAATGGCTGTATAAACCTCTCTCACTCTATGCACGAATGTGTGTGCGTGCGCAGGCACACACACACGCACACACACACACACGCACACACACACACACACACACGATTCATGTGCTTGTTCTGCTTTTGACAAGCCGTTCACCTTCACCAACGGGAGTCTGTTGCCTTCAGTTTCTGTTGCTGAGCCTGTGGTGCGGACTGCTACAACTCCTCAGAGCAACAGTGGCTGCTAAAACGCCTCACCTAGGAGAGGGGAGCCTTACGGCAGCAGGTGAGTGACCCCACGGGTGTGTGGATCTTGTGGACAAGGAGTACATAGACTAGTGTTACTGAAAGGCCTGTGTCCCCTCCTTGTTTTCTCACACTGCCAGCCTGTAGGGGTGCCAGGAGCCATTCTAGAGCCTTCAAATCCTCACGGTGTTCAAAAACCTTTAATCCTTAGACTCAGAGATTTCAAAGCCAGGAGGTGCCATGGTGATCTTCTGCATAGCACATTCCCGGAAGAAAAGGTGCAAAGTTACTTGCTCCAGCAGCACTTCTGTGTGGTCTGTGCAAACCTTCTCACTTTCCTGCTCTTTCTGCCCATTCATCAGCACACTCACTGCAGAGAAATTTATAAACTGGCCTGATAAAGGATTGTGGAGACCACAGAAACTGTTTCTGTTATGGATGAATTGAGGGAACTAAACCCGATTTTGGTTTAGTTCCCACATCCACTGCAAACTCCCTACAAGAGAGAGAGGATTAAAATGCTGTAGAGGAATTGTGGGAAGCATTATTGTGATTCTGCAGGATGCCTGCTCGGCACTCTGATGGACAGCTGAGCAGAGGCTCAGCTCTCTAGAAGCTCCATTTAATAGTTAAACCTCTTTCATAAAAATAAATACTCAACCAAACAAAACTGATGCTTTTTGGATACGGAGAATTAAAAAACTTTCTCTTACACTTTTTGTATTGCAGTCCTCAAAAGGTTATTCGTCTATTGGCTTTCAGAATTTCAGGATTAGTCCCCAAGTATGCTTGATTAAAGTCTCTGCAAATAGCTTTATTTAGATGTAAAAGGAAAAATAACTTATCTCGTTCATTCTGTTCGAGTTTCTAGTGCTTAGCACCCGTGAAATGGATTGCTTATCAGGAGGTAATGTCTTTTTTGTGCCTTTTAAAGTCTGTGAAAAATGTCTTCCTGGTTAATAGGTTGATTAAAACTGTATACGTTCCAGAAGATAAATGTGATTATTTGTCATACTCTGCCCAAGATAATGACAGTAAAGAAGACAAGGTTGAAATTTTGTGTGATTTCCTCTCTTCCACATCCTGGGGCATCCAGAACACTATACACAGATGGTACTCCACATAAAGGATTGCATTAGCTGTTAAACATTTTTTCTTCCCATTAACTCATTTAACAGTATGTTCCTGGTATTTAAAGAAATAGACAAGCCACAAAAAAAAACTTCTGTCAGCTTAATTCTGATCGCTAAAATAGACCATTTGTCCAGATGGGATTGCTTACTGGCCTAACTATCGGGTTAGAAACATCTAGAAATTCTGCACCCACACGCTCAGATTCTAGCAGTGTTGATTCAGCTCTTCATCCTTAATTGAGTTTCAGGCATTTAACTCTCTGGAGAGTTTTGAATGACAGCCTAAATATCGAAGGCCAGTCTGCTCGGTGTGTATGTTAGGTGACCTGAATTTTCAAAAATGATGAGCTCTTATAAGTCTGGTTTAAGTCAGCAGAAGCGGTAGGTGACAAAAATCACAGCAAAAGCCCCTGAGACTTTTTCACCAGAGTGGGCGGTGGACCAAATTAGACAAGTGTTTCCACTTTGTTTTCATTTGTCACCTTCCACAGCAAAGACACTGTGAGTGTCCTTGGGACTGGCTGTGTTGAGGAGTTTTTCTTCATAACCATGAGAACGACAGTGTTGCCTCACGTAATTCTTTCTTGTGCAACCGTTTTCTATACTGAGCTCTCTTCAGTGCTGTTTTCCCATTTCTCTTTTTGTTTCTAAGCAGCATAGTAGTATGGAGGGAACCCACATATTAAGTAATAGCCTATAGGCTAATTTTAGGAACACACGTGGTCTCCATGAGTCTTATAACTAAATGTGACAAGAAGTCGGTGAAAACCACTGTAAATGAAACACACAGGCTCACTGAAAAGTGACGTGAAAAAACTTGAAACTCACTGCAGTTTTTCTACGTTACACACTTCCAATCGCCATTCTGCAAACAACTCCTTATTTTAGTGTAACTCCTTGCACTAGAAAAGGTGATGGTGAAAACAACCTTCCTCTTCTGTTTTGTTCTTGCACTCCCTTGATGCACAAAGAGCAAACAGCTTTTTAAATAAAAGAAAAAGCAATTAAGGAGCCACTGGACCCATCAGTTTTTTGTTTTTATGTCTATTTCTAGCTATTTAAGTCTTGAAATTCAGTTTAGTTTTTCATGGCATAATGTCTGATGGGTTTTGCCGAATTTTATTTGCTCAGTGGCAGTAACTTCATACACCATGGTATGTAGTTGCTGTTAGTATACTATGCCCTTTTCCCCTATATTTGTTCAGAGAAGGACATGTTTTCCAGGGTTTTGTTGTGGTTTCCAGTAACTCTGTGCCAAATATTTTCAGAAACAGGAAAAAAAAAAAAATCACAAATCCAGCAGAATGTTCACCTAGGGAAAAGAGCTGCATAGTGCAAGAAGGAAAATACGCAACTGCCATGTTTTTCATTAGGCTCGAGACTTAATTTACTTTTAAATTATGTTCTTACTCTTTTACATAAACCTTTATCTAGAGAAAAACCTGTTTCCAGCCAAAAGCACAGAATAAAGCTTGGAATAATAAGATGATCTATGAATTTCTCCCTCTTTGGAAGATGTTTTATGTTCAGTCTTAAACCTTAACACTGATTTACTAGATCACTCTGTATTTGCCTATAAGCATGATTCTATTTTAAAGATTTCTGTCTGTAAATTTCACTAGCTTTGGTGGATTTTTTGAAGATCATAATTTGATGTTTCCATACAGCTGGGTGCCTCCAGATTTGATTCATCCTACCTATCATAAGGGAATGTCTTACAATACAGCTAGACTGATCCCGTGGCTAGCTATTATGAAAAGGGAGAGCGCTCTTGTGCTAGGACTAGCACTTTTCTGACCCTCCAGCAGTGCTCTAAAGCACTGGAAAACTACTACTCTTTTGCAGGGTTGCTAGCCCCCTGACCTGCGTTCTCATATGGTCACTGGGTTGATGGGAGGGAAGCAAGAGTAGGGCAGACTTTCTCATATGCAGCCCCCAGTTAGGTCAGTTCAGATGCTTTGTAAAATTCCAGGATCAGACTTTCATTTTAGTACGATGAACTACTGTTCCCTCTTTGAACATTTCTATCTGCCTTTGCTGACTGTGCAGGGAACTTAGATGACTGGTTTATATTAGATTTTTGCCAAAAGTTTTTTAGCCCAGATAAAGCTAGGTGACCTGCCTGAATCCCACCTTAGAAAATAAAGGTGAGCAACCTTAAGGACATTATGAGGGTTGCATTTATTTTGTTTGCCACTTGACTAGCTCTAATGGCATGAATAGTATTTTAAACTTGGTAAGCCAGTATTAACATGCATAAACATAGGCAATACAAGCATCAGCATGTGCACAAACTAATAAAATATGAAAATAGTACCATTTTTCATGTGTGTATGCTGGCAGCATGCACCACAATTTATTTAATACTGGATTACAAGCATCAAGCTATGGAAAAAAATGTCAGCTATTACACTTCAGTTTCTTTAAAGTATTACTTTTGTGCTGTCATATTTCAAAGGGAAACCATACTTCTCTATTATTCATCTGACATTTAAAGGTTTTTTTTTAACATTCTTTCTTAAGAGTCTAAAGATTTAATCATAAAGGACAGATTTTAAGAGGACTTTATTAAATCTGACAGCTGACTAATTGGACTGTGTGCAATTAATAAAAAATTTGATCAAATTGAGCATTCAGCAAAGGATTGTTCAGTGATAGCATTTTTTTTTATTTCTGCAGTTTTAGAGATCTACAGTTCTGCAAATACAGTGTTTGACTAAGACGTTATTCTTCCTAGTTTACGCCCACACTTCATGAAATTACTGCGGTGTGAAAAATAACATGTTGCTTAGGATTCTCCTGGTAGAAGAGCCACAGGAACCACTGAAATACAAAAAGCTATACTTGACCATATATTTTCTTAGCTGAAAATATTTGTTGCATAAGACAGACTGGGTGTCTCAGTATTTTATGCCATTTTCACTTACAACTTAGATTTCTATACAACTATAATAGTAGCTTCTATGCAGATGATCAGATTTGCTATTGTAGGATCCAATAAAAAAGCTGCTACTGAGGAAACAGAGTTCACTTTGTAGAGATCTCTTCTGGTGCTCTACAGAGAAGCTCAGTAGCTCATTCCTTGCATTCTGGATGCTTTTAGCTTTCCCTCCAGACACTCAAAAATAGCGTGGTTCAGATACTTCCTCTATTGCAACTTTAAATATCTCCTTTATTTTTAGAAGAGTCCACTGTATGCTTTACCTTCAGGCTCATTAACAGATCTGTTGCAATTTACTTGATGGTTATATTCCTAATGGGACATGTAAATGGCACTGAAAGTACTGTTGTTTCCTAGAGAAATTTCCTAAAATTTCTCTTTCTCTTGAGAAGCAGGACGGGATAAGAGTTTACTGTTGTATTTTCATCATATTTACTCCTGAAGATTGGTTTCTTCTTCAAGTTTTCAAAAGATACAGTCTTTTTTCAAGATGGATACAACTTATCTTGGATTTCCTCACAAATCAACTATATCAAACAGGCTGAAAAAGTACCAGCAAAAATACAGCGTAATATAAATTGTTTTTATAAATTCTCCTGTTGTTAGATGTTCACTGGCATCTCTAGATTCAGTGAATTCAGTAATTCACTCAGTCTGAGTTTTCTTTTCTGTTTTTCAGATGGGACACTTCCAGTAGTTTCCCTGCCATTCTTGCTGAAAGAGACATCTCCAAATTATTCTGCTTCTTTCATTTGGGTTTAAGTAAGTCTTCCCATTCAACAGTAGATTCGCTTTTTTTAGGAATTGCTGGGAACACTGATTGCATTTTAATCTGGAATTCTTGCATCTATAAAAGAGATTAAAACATAAAATTAGTCAAATAAGACAGACATAAAGTAATACCATGAACCCTGGGCTTGTTCCACAAAACATGGCTGTGTGAGGTAGAGAAGAGGTAAAAAGACCTTAAAAATAACAGAAAATTAAGTCTTTCCCTCTTACTGTGTTGGTTCAAATAACTAGGCAAAAAAAGGGACCCACAGCAATCCCCAGTTCTAAATCACTAGACTGGGGTGGTTAATTTGGACCACCTGCCTGAATCATTCACTACAGTCACACAAACTGCCATATATATGTATTTGAAATGGTTTGTTGTTTGGAAGAAAATTACCTGAATATGTCTGAATTGTGGCTGTAGTGCTTTTTCTTTTTTTTAACACTTGCCGTGGATTAAAGGCCCAGTGGGTCTGTTCAAGAATTTTAAAATAAGGACTAAAAAATTATTGCTCAGCTCTGACTTAATTTTGGTTTATCCTATAGTGTATGGATATAGGTAACAAAACAAACTTTAAATAACAGTAGAGAGGAAAACAAGATTCCTAACTATATATTACAGCATGTTTTTTCATTGTTCGTAAATTAAAATCTCTGCTCAAAGGAAAATATTTCTGGTTTTATATTCTGTATATCAATACATGAATACAAATCACCGTATCTATATTTATTGTAACCATTTTATCACTGATGCCTGATTCAATAATCTTGGCAGGCTAGAACTGAAATTTTAATTTCTTTAAAAATCACTTCTCTTTAAAGATAGTGTCTAGATCTAGCAAGGTCCTTTCTTCCAAGTTTTTTACATATAGCATCTTTTTGAAATATAGATGCAGAAGAAGTAAAACAGTGAAAATCTCGTTACATAAACAGCAGGATGTACAGGGGAAGTTTTGGACTACTATTTCAGGAAGCTCTACAGACTCTATGATATTCACGCACAGAAGACAGGATGTGATATTCAACTGGATGCAATGATCTCTTGAATACCAAATCTGTCAGTTCATCCCATGGAGAGGTTCCAGGAAATCTAGATATTCTTAACTGCCACAAAGGCATTCTCTCTAATATGCTTACACTTGTGTGTTGTGGGTCATCAATATTTTTACAAGTACCTTTGGGCATTTTCTGTTCAAGTTCTGTGTAGGAATAATTCTGACAGAGAACTGGCACTTCTTTATAGAAATGTGGCTACAATGCAATTATTCAAGTTACAGCTGATACAAAGAATGAAACAATTTACAAAGAAATTACAAATTCTTTACTAAGATTAAAACTAAATATGATTATGAAAACACATTAGAACTCAATTTTTTTGTGCAAAACACCTATGTACTACAAATCAAATAAAAATACATACTATATGAAGAACTAGGAGGAAAATTCAGAGCCAAATTATCCTTTTTGCTTTATCCCGTTTGTGGTCTTATGTAAAAAGTATTTCAATGTCTGCTCCATATTTTACCCTGATCAGATAGCTGTTGTTATTCATTCTTTCTTCTTTTAAAAAAATCTTGGCAATCGCCTGCAATACTTCCTAAACAAGAATTTTTGCTAAGTTATTTAAAATCAAAAGACTCTCACAGAGCACTAATATTTCCAAAGGTACTGAACACCAACATCAGAGCTGACATAGGGGAACAGCCCACATTACATTAAACAATTAAATACAAGCATTTACAGGAGAAAATGCTTATAGGAGCTTTAGCTCAGATGTTTTTTTCCAGTCCTCTAATTAAGTTACCTCATTTCTCTCATGTGTGCAAACTGTTCAATATACTTTATATTTTTTTAATTTCTAAAAAGTTAACCCACCTCTTCTACTCTTTCATCTTGCTCTAAGTATTATCTGGGTGTTTGAAAACACAGGAGTGGTCAGATCCTAACCTGGTATAAACAGCTGTAGCTCACTTGGTATAAATGGAAATAAAACATTTTATACTAGCTAATGAACTGGTGCAATGAGGATTTATTGGCTATTGTTTCTAAACTCAGATTTTTAGTGTCAAATTTAAATGGTGCACTCATAAGCCCTACAGGACACCTCAGTTACTCCACAAAACCCAAGAAACCAAAGAAAACTAGAAGCGATATATAAGACCTCCAAAAAAGGGTGATATAGGCATGGGAGCCATTCAATAACTGCAATGCTTCCTCACTCTTAACAGCTACCACGTTACTACCAAAATGCCAAACGCTAACCCTAGAATGCACAAAACAGTCTTGTGTGGGAAATAAATAAAATACTACAGGTCTATTCTGAAAAAAAAATCTGTTTATCTAGAAAGTGCTAAAACACTGCTGGTGGATGTAGATTTAAGAATCTTTGATTCATTTCCTCTCAGAATGCTAATTTATTTTCTGCAGGTAAAAGCAACTCATTTTCTGGAAAAGCACTTCTTCATTAACATATGGACAAAATTTGGAATATTCAGTATCTTCTTTTTGCTTTCAAGATCCCTTGACAAATTTCCTCAGCCTTGCCATCTCAGATGTTGATGTTTATTTGTAAAACCACTTTGCCAGTGATGACAGACGCAACATCTCATTTATCTCTTTTCACTCCATCATTTGTGCCCTTTTCCATGACCCCCCTCTGCACATAATATTTTTCTCTTTCCAATTTACAAGTTTGACTATGTTTTATATTTTTCCACAAACTTTCTTCTTTTTTGATTCCCATTCTGGGTAGTGAGCTTAATAAATCAGAATGCCAAGCTGATCACCACTGTGCATTGTCTTCTCAAAGCTATGTTTTAGATTGTCAGCTATTCAAGAAAGACATTATCTATAGTGACTGGCATGGCCCTAACTAATACATAATGTCTTCACAGTACATCTGAGCAGGGCCAGTTTGTTGACAATACAAACACCACAGCTATTAACTTTTATGCAAAATTGTCATGTCTATACAACTTAAAAGGTAGTGTACTCTGTTATTTCTCTCCACAATATTTTTTGAGTTCCCACCAAATGCATTAATATGCCTAATACTAGTCATAGACTTTTATTTTTCTCTGTCTCCTTCTCCTCTCAGTGAGAAAATGCAGCGAAGCATTTCATTAGGGCTTTGTTTTTGGACTTCTAAGATATCTCCCGTCTCTTCTGTTTCACCAATGACACCAGCTTTTGAGTTCCTTCCTCCCATTTCCACATCTGGGCCTGTTTCTATCCTGAATGTACTTCTAAACCCTAGCCACCTTTCTCCCTGCATTCAGAGCTCCTCTAAAAATCACCTGTCACTGCACCAAGCAGTGTGAAATCACTGCTTTGGAGCATGGAGAAGACTTTAAAAAGTAACTATTCTTTGATGTAACGGAACCAGCATATACACACGTCAGTGACCATGGAAACTGCATCCCAGAGTTCCTGTCCCTTACCTCCCAGTGTCAGGTGTCAGTCTGCTGACAAACCTTTCCAGTGTCAAACCTCAGGATGTGACTTTTTTCAGTCAGAGGCTATGAGCTCAATGTCCTGGGCCTGGACTGGCCAAACTATGTTTAGCATGGGACTAAATTTGGCCCTCAAAGTAATTCACACTGGTCTCAGGGTTTTCTTGTTTGTATCTGGTTGACAGTGCCGTACCAGGCCCATCGCAACTTCAGAGAATCCTTGTGATGAAAGGATAATTTGTCCACTAAACATGGATTAGCTGCCCTTCTATGAATTGGACTTACCAGGTATCCAGTTGGCCTCCTGCTTTGTGGTGAGCCTCCTGTGAAGACGGTTAGTCTGGCTTTATATGCTATTAACACACTGAGGTGCAAAAGTTGGGACCTTATCTTTACCTGCCCCTTTTAGGGGACAAGCATGCTTCTGCACGAGGGAAATGCTGCAGTTAGGAATCTGTGTCTTGCCTTGCCTTTTTATATCAGATATGCCATTAGGGATGCCTCTTCTCCCTCCTCCTCCTAAGAAATCTTCTTCCACATTTCCTCTAGCTTCCACGATACACATGCCAGTGGTCTCAAACCAAAAGGCATTAATTTAATTATAAAAGCCGATGTGCTATGTACTGAGTAATGGAACGTTTTGAAATAATTCACTGAAATAGGTGCTGTTTTATTATTGCCAGCCATCCTGACACGGGAGTACTTGGTTCAACTGTGGTAATGTCTTCAATTAATAGTGCAGTACCTCTTTCTGCTGCCTTCAGTATTGTAGGCCACTCTCTCAGCTACCGCCTCTGAACCTAGTGGTACGTGAACAATTTGTATCATTTCTTGACTTAGCATTCCAGCATGCTCCATTCCTGGAGGCAACTCTCTGAAGTGAATTTCACTCAGGTAAATTTTATTTTTTTATCACAGATACTGCAAAGCTTGATGCTGTTTTTTCCTGCCAAATAAATTACAGTAACTGTTCCACTTCTGACTGTCAGGCTTTTTTCTAAAAGGGTATCATCTACCTTACTGCATTAAATAATCGGTAATAGCTACAGATCACTGTTATTTTCTTATCTTAACCTAATGATCCTGCCTCAGGTGGCAAAAATATGGGGACCTAAAAGCATCTTCCATTTAATAATGTCTTTTTAATGTACATCGTTGACAGAATGTCACACAAAAACTGGGATAGCACTATTACCGAGAGCACTTAGGTAGCCGTTCATATTAAAATGAATGGAAGAATAGGTAAAAGAGTCTCTATGAATCCTAGAATTAAAGTTTTACAAAGAAATGTTCTCTTTAACGTCTGACATTGGTAATAGGCCAGCCTAGATTGTAGGAATTATTAGTTTTCTATTTTAGTACTTGTACCAGTAAGAACTGCTTATATGAGCTTCCAGGCGATACAAGGTTAGATGCCCTGAACTGGAATACTGACTGGCAGCAGAATACAATATCTACATGCCTTGTATTCTAATCAGCCACCTTTCATTTCACATGGCATGAAGATGAGACAGGCTGCCCTGGATTTAAGAGCATCAGAGAGGATTGCTCTTACCCCCTTTTCCCAAATCTTAAAATGATTGCTGTCACCCTGTTAGCAAATGCTTACCAAGGCCTGCAT